GGTACGCTGCCCCCCCAGCTCGAGCTGTCCGCTCGGGTAAGACATGTCTAGAACAAATACACCCATATTTTTAAACCTAGAATAACGTCGCCTCATGCCGGATCCCTAGTAGGAATTCTTGTTTGCATCACGTGCATTTGACTTTGGGGACTCAACAAAAGGGTTGGGTCCGTATAGTACAGGTGCACCCGAAATCAAAAGACCATCCTGATGCATGTTTCTTGCTACTTGTACACTTATTTGCTTCAGATTGCATGTTGACCGGCTTCTAGAATAGGGGAGTAAAGTTGGAAAAATCAAATTGAGGTATGAGAGAGATAATTACCCGCCTTTGAAAAATCTGGTGCCCAAAATATACTGAAACTCGCCGAAATTTTGAAAAAAAGAGAGAAATAGAAAAAGAAAAGAAAGGAAAATTGTTTCAAAATATTTCATGTTTTTCTATTGCGTCAAAACTTCCCGAACTACGCTGGTTTGATTCTCATCGGATGTGGGATACGTAGGCAACCCTCATCGGGTCTAACCCCATTTTTGCAAAAATAACCTATAAATATGTAATATTGTCATTTTTTTCGTAAATAAAGTTAGGTGATGCCGTTTTTGTCTAAATAGCCAAAATGTCCCAACATGGCGCCGGAAGGCTATTTTTTTGCAAGAATAGCCACCTATGGTATTTTTTTAAATTTTTGGCCAATTAGCAAATACATCCCTCAAATCTTTCTTCCTGAAGTGCTGAAGGGTCGTATTTGCGAAGGTGCCTCATTTTGAGAAAGTTGTTTGAGTTGCAATCTTGCAAAAATTAATAATCTTCTTTTTTTGGGTCAAAATAAATCATGGTATTTTAACCGATCACTTTAAATAAATGTGCAGGATGAGCACTATTGAAAATGAACATTTCAAAGTTGTAGAGGAAATCCTGATAGGACTCCATATATGGTGGAATGAACTGGGGGAAGTCAGCAGAGGTGCTGCGATAAAAGCTTTAGGCGGGCTCATTGGTCTCTTGAAGATTAAACCAAGGTTGGACATAATTGAAGCTTTGACACCATTTTGGGACCCGGCACACAATGTGTTCCATTTCTCTGATTTTGAGTTAACCCCTACATTTGAAGAGATAGCCGGCTATGTTGGCCTTAACGGGAATCTCAGGAGCCGATACCTAGTGGCACCAAGAGCTGTAACTCCTCACAAGTTTCTGGATCTTCTGAGTATTAGTCGGGAAGTCAAAGATGGAAATTTGGCTGAAGGATTTTGCACATTCTACTTCCTATACCGCCGTTATGGGGACCCCCACAATTTTGAGGCTTTGAATACCGGTTTAAGTCATCAAGGTAATAAAGGCAAATGGGAAGCACGTCGGGGACTGGCCTTCGTAGTGGCATTCTTAGGCACTCTAATATGCCCAAGGAGTGATGGACATATAGAGTTGGGGCTCGTAGGAATAGATGACTTCATGATCAAAAAGGCTAATGGCACTATTATACCAATGATCCTAGTAGAAATTTATCGAGCTTTAACTGTTTGCCAAGTAGGGAGAAAATTTTTTGAGGGTTACAACATGCTTTTACAACTTTGGATGGAAGAACACCTTTGCCATCGTCCGGGGTACATGAACTATGTTATGACTGGTCTTAACTGCATTGAAGAACATGAAAAACGGGTGGATGGTCATGAGTTTCAAGAAGGTACGGAGGCATGGTTTGCACATTTGAATTCCTTGACAACAAGCAAATTGAGTGGACATTCGGTTGGATCCCGGTCAACGAATTTATCTATATGTCGGCCGGAGTGTACTTTCTTTTATTAATGGGCCTTCAGAGTATTCAGTCGTATGCTCCACACAGAGTTCTGCGCCAGCTAGGCAGGTACCAAACTATCCCTCATGATGAAAATTTGAGTCGACAAGTCATTGAACTAGGTCCAAAAGCTGCATTCCCGGAAGAAAAGGTTTGCCAAATTTAGTATCAATGTAGGTTTCTGGAGCCATAGACTCGAGTACGGGATTTGTCCAAGGGTGAGGTAGAGCCTAGCTACACGGCCTGGTATGGTAAAAGGGTTCAAGTACATCAAGAGCCTAAGCAGCCTGCCAAAAGGCCCCACGTACAACAGTTCACTGATGCGGAACAAGAACAATGGGATTGGTTAGTAAAGGAGAAAAGCTACAAGGTTACAATAAGCAAATTAGAAGGGTAAATCAGAGATCATAAATTTGATAGTAGTGTGCAGGCTGCTACTGATGAAGGAGAGAAGAAAAAGTTGGCCCAAAAAAATGAAGTCCTCCGAGCACAGATTCAAAGGATGAAGATAGCTGCTGAAAACCCAGGAAAGAGCCAAACAGATGAAAAACTTATAAACGGTCGCAGGAGGAAAGTATGTGAGTATGGGACTGATTTGGAAAAATACAAAGGTAAATTGGCAAGAGCCCGAGCAAAGATGGTGAAGAACGCAGAAGGACGGGCATGGTTTGTTCAACAATTAAAAGAAAAATATGATAGAGAGGTCGCAAATCTAAAGAAAAAGCTAACTACTCTCGAGAATGAAATGGCTAAACAGACAAAGAACTTCAAGGCAGAGCGAGAACATTATTATGCATTGATGTCTCGACTAGAAGAGGACATGCAACAGTTGCAGGAGCAAAGCCATAATGACACCCAAGTTCTGAAAGCTAGGTCTCAATAAATTGGACGCCTGCTCCAAGAGAAAGGCATCATTAAAGAAAGGGTTAGAGAAATTGATGATTATATCGTCATGAAATGCCATGAGTACGAGGATATGACTAGATCCACTTTCTTCGTTGCAGTGATGACCTTCGTTCGCCAGATAATGGATGACCTGGATCGCCTCCAAGGAGATCTTGCACGTAGGCGCGCATCGAGACCGACTGATGCCCCCCTGGAGTAGTTTTGAAGGCACTTATGTATTCCTGATTTTTCTTTTTGAGTTTGTATTTCTATTTTTTTAGAGTCTGTCAGTCTACTTTGAGTCTGTTTTCTTTGCTTTTTAGTTCTGAAGCCTGTATGATGGAGTTGTTGTAATAGAGTAAAATCAGAAGTTTCTATTTAATGAAAATTTGAAAACCCAAAAATGTTTCTTTCTTTTATTTCTCGTTTATCCCCTGAACTATATAATGATCTAATTCACGCGACGTTGTGATATGTGTCACACCTCTATTTTCCTACACCCCGGAAGGGTAGTGCAAGAGAGTTTTTTCCAACTTAAAGTGACAATCAAAATGGGATTTATTTCAATTAAAATTCAGAGACGCCACTTGGGATAGTTTATTGGTGTCCCAAGTCACCGGTTCAAATCCCGAATTGAGGAAAAGATTGATTTTGTATTACAGTACGCGAACATAGAAATTTAGGTAAGGAATTCTGTTGACCCGAGAGAAGGTGTTAGGCATTCCCGAGTTCCGTGGCTCTAGCATGGTTGCTCAACTGTTATTATTGGCCTAATTATCTGATTTAAAACACTTTTGAACCTATGTGCATTTTTAACTTTAAAACCGCTTTTATTCGTTTTAGGAAGATTTCAACGTTATACAAAACACATCTTTGGATCACGCCACATGAAATGCACCCTCGATCCGCGACATATTTTATTTAACGTTGTCAGGATTTGGATTTGGGTCACATGAAATGCACACCCGAGTTTAAGGAGGTTAATTTAAATTACGCGCCTAAAGAAACTATGCACTTTCAAGTTTGCGAGGCCATGAAAAATTCACTAAATGGCACACCCCGATTTCTAAAGAATTAAAATTAATCAAGTGAGGGCCATGGGTTATGGAAAGTATGGAAGAAATAAGGTAAAATAATTATGGAAAGGTGGTATGGTTTATTGAAGTATTATACTAAAGTTATGGAGCTTTGCAAATTGAACTCTTAATTTAATGTCAAATACAATTCTCCTCTCTGTAAATCCTCACTACTAGAGAAAACAAACAAAAAAAAAGAAAATTGTCATTATGGCAAAAACTTGGAGTAAATCGTAGCCCATGACATGAAAACAGTACTAGTTGTCAAAATTATAAAGTTTGACATACTCCACATTCCGAGTCCACAAAAGCCAAAAAATAATGCCCCTTCTAAAGACCTTTATTGCCTAAATCACTTGTAGTCTGCTACATAATGTAATAGTACAAAGCAGCCCCAGACCAATTTCATCAATTAAAAACGAATTCTAACAATCCAACATTTTTGAAATCATCAGTAAACTATCTTTCTTCTAATCAAACCTGATGAATGTTGATTAACGAACCCACAATAACTTCTAAAACCATTCAAAAGAACACAAAGCAATATGAACATCAACATGAATAGATACCGACCATTTCAAGCATTCATGTACCAAATAAACATGTTTCGTCAAAATTTACTGCACGGGATTGAGAAGAAAGACGAAAATGAGAATCTGACCTCAATTATTAATAAGAACCCAGTTACAATAAATTCCGATGAACTAATCTGGCCGGAAGAATCGACAGTAACAGGAGCCCGGACAACAAACGGAGCTTCGATGGTGAACCTCGAGCAGACACTCGAAATCGGCAAATTCAAATTCCGACACAACCAAACTCTATTTCCTAGTTCTTATTCCTATTTTTATCTAAAACTCCTCAACATTTTCCATCCATTTTCATTTTTTCCAGCTTCTGTTCCGCTTGGTGGTGGGTGGCTAGCGACGGTTTCCCGGCTATTTTAGAAGGTGAAGAGCTTGGATTTTCTTTGCAGAAGAGAGGGGTTCATTTGCAAGAGGATTTTGTCGCTTGCTTCTTTATTTGGTTCTCAGTTTTTGAGAGGAATCTCAAGTTTTTGTTGCACTTCGATTTGTCTATAAGATAAGAAATCGATGGGAAATGGGGTCTTTGGGTGTTGAGTGGCGGATCTGTTGAAGAAGTGAAGTCTTGCTGTTGCTTCTGTTCTTCGAATGAAGAAGAAGAGGTTCAGGGGTTGTTCGGGTGAGGTGATGTGAAGGAGACGATTCGAGGGTGCGTGGGTCGTTTTTTGAGAAGCTGCGCAGCTGATGATCCCCCTATATTAGGCGTTATTTCAGGTGTAGGTCCTATTATATAGGGGTAGGGATTAGGTTAGGGGTATGGTCCTAGGAATTATGGGCTAGGTCCAAAATTAGGCCTAAAAATGAGTTGCTCAAGCCCAAGCTTTACTCTTTCCACGCGAATGAGATTAAAATACGATCTCATTTATTAATTGGTCCTACTTAAATAAAATAACTATTAAAATAAGACTGACCATTAAAACAACACTATTTTTGGTATTTTTCAAGATTAAAAATAATTACAAAATATTAATGAAATTATTTTTGTAATTTTTGTTTTCTTGTAATAAAATAAAAGTAAAAGAGTAAAAATGAGTTGAAATATCTATATTAGACCTAAATTAAATATTTACGTGCTAAAATATGAAAAATCTTGGGGAGGGTCAAAAATCACATGTCTACAGCTGCCCCTCTTTGACTGGAAATACGAAGTATTTTCAGATAAAGAACGACTAGACATGTTTTTTTTTACCCGACCCTTATTTAAGGAAACCAAACTAAGAGAAAAAGAGAATGTGACTGAGCCCTGGTATCTGAGCTGCCTACATATCCTTGGCTATAAAGGAATCAGACCACGTGTAGTTCAGAGGTGAGTGAGATGATGGAGTACACCGAGATGGAGAGCCAGTCGAGGTGCCATTCCGATGAGGTTCCGATCCGCGGTTCTGTTATTATATCAAAATCAAAAATGAAAAAGACTAACTAAGCCTATCAGCTACGAGTTACAAGATTCCTATCTATGAGTATTCTGAAGCTTGATCTTGAGTCTTGGTTGGTTATTCATGCGGACCCTGATCTAAATCTTGATTCTTGTCAGCCGCAGGTGTTGGTTCAATCTTCTTCAGTTTTTCAAACCAAGACGGGACATGCAGAGTTTGTGACCTCAGCCCTGTCTTGAGCAGATCACATCTTTCATTAACTTCTGTATTTGGATTCACTTCTTGTCTTTCCTTTTGTTTTTTTTCTTTTTATTCTGGATTGTGACTAACTTCCATTGATCATCTAGGACTGCTGACTCGCATTCTTGACGCGAGCTTCTTTTGTTGCTAACCTGAATTGCATTCTGAATCGAATTCCCTTTTTTTTCAGGTGGGCGCCTGATTGCTGAACTTGAACCGTCTTCTCTTATTACTTGAAATTGTTTTTCCTTGCACTATGAACTATTTTCCCCTGAAACTTGAATTGTCTTCCTTCGAAACTGCTTTCCCTTGAAACTCGAGTTGTCTTCCTTCAATACTGCTTTTCTTAGAAACTCGAGTTGTGTTCCTTCAACACTGCTTTCCCTAGAAACTTGAGTTGTCTTCCCTTGTTCTCCAGGTGGGCGCCTGATTACAACAAAACAGACAAAACAAAAGAAATTTTTTTCTGCCCCAGTTTGCACTAGGAAGATTTGTGAGTCGTTAGCAAAATTGTAAACCACTTGTACTATTGATGCAATGATGAGAGTAAACTAAAGAATAGACTAGGAAAACTATAAACTAAGTTTTACTAAAGTAAAGACTGACCCTATTCTCTAGGTAGGACCCCTGATTTCAAGAAAACTAAACATTGATTACTTAAGAAAACTAAAAATTGACCCATTTTTTTTCAAATCCAGATTTCCCTTTTCAAATTATCCTAGGAGAAAATTCGTCAGACTAGGTTTTCTATCTTAGGAGAAAGATTCATCAGACTAAGATGTTTATCCTAAGAGAAAATTCATCAGACTAGGTTTTCTATCTTAGGAGAAAAATTCATTAGACTAAGATTTTGATCCTAGGAGAAAATTCATCAGACTAGGTTTTCTATCTTAGGAGAAAAATTTATCAGACTAAGACATCTATCCTAGGAGAAAGTTCATCAGACTAGGTTTTACCTTAGGAGGAAATTCATCAGACTAAGATTTCTATCCTAGGAGAAAGTTCATCAGACTAGGTCTTCTATCTTAGGAGAAAAATTCATCAGACTAAGATTTTGATCCTAGGAGAAGATTCATCAGACTAGGTCTATTTTTGTTATCTTAGGAGAAAGATTCATCAGGCTAATATTTCTATCCTAGGAGAAAATTCATCAGACTAGGTTTTCTATATTAGGAGAAAAATTCATCAGACTAGGTTTTCTATATTAGGAGAAAAATTCATCAGACTAAGATATTGGGAGGAAAATCCATCAGACTACGACTTTTATCCTAGGAGGAAATATGCGAAGATCAATGGCAAGATTTTATGCATAATTAGCAAGACAAAAGACAAGGAGTTGAGAAACTTCCCTTCGTCGGCTCTTCTCTTCTTTTATTTTCCTTCTCTTTTTTTTTCTTTTCTTTTTCTTCTTTTTTTAATTTTTTTTAACCACTTTCCTTGCATTGCTTTGTTCCTGTTTCACACAAAGAAAAATTGGTCAGTTTTGAAAATGGTGGTCAGTTTGTGGCCTTGAGTCTTGGGCAGCTTGGCCTCTGCTTAATCAGCTTGAGTCGGTCTCAAAAGACTTTTGTTCTGCACCAACTCTGATTGTTTCACACTAGTACCATTTGTATTTACAGCTCAAATAGTCTTATCCCAATTGGAGACCTTTGCTCAGGTGACCTTTTCCGATATCTTGAATGACTTCCTGCTTTTGAGCAACTTGTCTGTCAGAGAGAATCACCAGTTATCTTTGCTTGCGCCAAGTAGGCTGACAAGAGTCTTTTGAGAAAGCCTCTGTATGAATCCTCAAGGTATATTGACAGAAACAACTTAGTGCTGGCCAAATTTGCTTTATGCAATTGAAAAGCTGGTAGCAGATTTTGAAATCTTTTCTTGCTTGTTTTGACAAGGACCGACTAGGAGTGAAGGACAGAATGATGCAAAGACACAAGTATTAACAAGAAATGTCCCTGTCGAAAGGACAGAAGGAAGAGTTCTTTTTCTTTTCTTTTTTTCAATAACTAGCTTTAATAATCATGACATGCATTTTGGTCTTAACGATCGATCTACCAAACTAATCCAAACTTCCCTTTTACCATTCTTATGA